TAGCTTCAATCTCAATCCAGGAAAGCAAGTTTAAGCCAAACTAATTCTCTGGAACTTTTTTAGAATTTATTAGACCCATATCTTAACCCCAAGACTTATTTTGGCATATCCCATACTATCCAACTTTTAGATTATTCAAGATGAGAGAGACTTAGAAAGTAGCCTAGGGTTGAGGCGTGCCCCTTTAAAGATAAGCTAGGATAGAGAGAGGTCTAGAGAGAGGGGCTTTAAAGGGAGGAGAGAAATTTTTTTGAGAGAGTGGGGTATGCCCTTAGAGAGAGAAGAGAGATGTGTAGATAATAGGGGGGTACACCCCTATTTATATTGCAAATTTGGGTTTAGGATTTCTCATAATTTATATATTAAGTGAGATTGAACATGGACCATCAATCAATGGTGACTTGTGGGGTGGAGATCTAAACTATCTATTCCATAGATGGTTCCTCAACAATATGGAAAGTGCATGAACTATTGTCCTCCTTTTCTAAACTATTTTTCAATTAATATGAATTAAGTCAAATTAATTTCAATCAAATATTATGCATTCCATAAAACAATACAAGCCTACTCATAGTTTCTATAAAATATTTCAAAACACATCAAGTCAATATTTAGTCAAATATTTCCAACCTTAAGATTCTATCTGACCTCATACGATATCTTATCATAATGGAAACAAAATAAGAGAGATAAGGGTTGGGGCGTGCCACCCAAGGAAAGCATGCATGGGCCCAACCTTCTAGAGCATGATGGGCCCATGTGCACCCATGAAATTTTATTTTATATTTAAAAATAATAAAAATAATTTTATAATATTTATTTGAATATTTAAACCATTGTAAATTCAATATCTTTAATTTTTCAAATCCAAATTTCATAAATAAAATATCCAGACATTCATACAAATTCAAATAATAAGTTTAAAATAATTTATATCATAAAATAAACATAATTAAATTAATTTGATGGGAAATGGATCCATATAGTTAAGGAATTACATCAACAATCATGTGTCACTCCACCTTTAACTGTGGACTACAGACCACACTTGTTTTATCAAACCAACCTAGTGTTTTTCATGACCCACAGTCAAAGCATGGGCTCATTAACGGGTCACCAAAGTCTGACCGATGAGCCAATGAGTCGCAATCCCAATATGTGAATTTCAGGTCCTCCCCTAGAGACGAGTTAATGCCACCAATACTTGATGTGACTACAACTACTATAGTGTATGGGGGTATCTCTCACGCATGTATACGCTTCACCCAGAAAGATGGTTTGCTTTCCCAAAACTGTCTATCGACATGCAAGCAGTGTGATGGTACATGAATGAGGCTTTGGATCCCATCTCTGAAAGCCACCATCACACACAGGGGTCACACAGTCCCTCTGTTCACTCATCCAGGCATACTCTGATCTCATAAAGGGTTGACCCATTAGAATCATTATCGGTTGATATTTTATGCCCAGGTAACATGGGTTTTTTCCAACCAACTGGTCAGACCGTCAAGTACAGTCTGGTATAGGCAAACACGGTTTGTATAATATGGTCTATGAGGAACCACACTCCCACTGAGTTTGTGATCCAATATATCAAATGTTTTATTACAATCACTTATAAAAGGCCTTTTAGTGGCCACACAAACCCAACAGTTATGAACAATGTTTAAAAAATCGAATTGGCCTTAGAAACCGCCTATTAGCTGATTTGGAGTGAACGATAAATCTGCCGGTTCAATCGGCCTAATCGGGTAGGTCCCCGACAAGTAAAAAAAGTGCTAAAAAATAAAAAAATATAAAATAAAATCTTAAAAATATGAAAAGTATATTTAAAACATGATTAAACAAAACACATCCCATGAAGTTAAAAAATAGTGAAAAATAGATTTAAAAAAACCATTTGTGTTCAGGGTATTTTTAGAATTTTCTAGAAACGATAGGAAAATAGAAAAATAAGTATTAATAGCCAAAACACTTTCCAATTTTTGCCAAAATGATAAAAAACATTCAAAAACACATTACAAATATATCACTTATTTTTTAGGATTTTATATAAATTATTTTGATTTTTTTAAATTACTAGGCCTGACCACCTAAACAATATCGGGAAGTGCCCAGTTCCGATTTGACAGCTGGTTCCGAGTTTGCAAACAGTGGTTATGAGCTTGAGTGAAAGAGATGGGTTTTTAGTGAGAGAGACGGGTTTTGAGTGAGAGAGAGAGTTTTGATGCTTGTTTATTGTCGGATTTGTGTGATACACTTAAGAGTACAGATGCGTAGAGAGAGAGAGGTGTTTGTAGAGAGATAAAGGAGAGAGAGTAGTTATTTGTAGACAGAGAATGGATCGCTTGATTTATATTTTGGGCATCAGTTTCTTCTTCTAAATCTTCCAATGTGAAAGATGCTGCTCATTGAAAGTTATTTGTAGAGAGGCAGGGATCGTCTAATTATATTCTGGACGCTCGATTCTCTCTCTAAAGTGAAAGTTCTGTTGGGCGGTAGGTGTGTTAGAGAGAGAGGGAACAATTAGTGATTGTTTTAGAGAGAGAGAGAGGGAATAATTAGTGATTGTTTTAGAGAGAGAGTTGAGAGTTATTTGTAGAGAGGTTCGCATCGTTCGATTTATATACGCCAGATTCTCCTACTAAAGCGAAGATGTGGTTGCTTGATAGGTGTGCATAGAGAGAGAGCATTTAGTGAATTTTAGAGAGAGAAAGAGTAATTAGTAAATGTTATAAAGCGAGAAAGAGCCATAAGGGAATGTTATAGAATACGGAGACCAATTAGTGAATGTTAGAGAGAGAGAGAGCAATTTGTGAATCTTAAAGAAGGAAATAGTGAATGTTAGAGAGAGCAATTATGGAATGTAGGAGGAGAGAGAAAAATTAGTGATTGTGAGAGCAATTAGGGAATGTTAGAGAGAGAGCTCAATTATTGAATGTTAGAGAGAAACAATAAGTAAATATTAGAGAGAAACAATTAATGAATGCTATATATAAGAGAGAGTATCTTATATATGCGAGGGAAATAATAATATCAAATTCAAGACGTCATGGTGCGGTATCTTGTCATTAATATTGTAGAGAGAGATTAGTGAATGTTATAAGGAGAGAGCTAGTAGTGGATGCTAGAGCACAATTAGTGAATGTTATACGAGAGAGAGAGAGCAATTAGTGGATATTAGAGAGAGCGTAATTAGTGAATGTTATACAAGAGAGAGCAATTAGTGGATGCTAGAGAGAGCAATCAGTGAATGTTAGAGAGATTAGTGAATGAATGTTAGAGAGCGAGAGCTATTAGTGAATATTAAAGAGTGATTAGTGAATGAATGTTAGAGAGAGCAATTAGTGAATGTTAGAGAGAGAGAGAGAGATTAGTGAATGTTAAAGAGTGATTAGTGAATGAATGTTAGAGAGAGAGAGAGAAGCAATTAGCGAACATTATAGAGAGAGATTGGTGAATGTTATAGAGAGAGAGAGAGAGCAATTAGTGAATGAATGTTAGAGCGAGAAGAAAGTAATGAATGAATGAATGTATGTTAGAGAGAGAGAGAGAAAGGGTGGTTGCCAGGGGAGGAGAAGGCGAGCGAAGGTGGTGTTTGTGTTGATGTGCGGTGCTTTCAAGGGGCGTCAACGTCTAAGCGGGTTGGTGTGTCACTTTTGCTTCCTCGTCCACGGCAGCGCCCAAAAACCTCCTCCAAAGTTGACCTACGTTTACCAATTTTAGAGCCGACAAAAAGCAAACGCCCGACAAAATCCCCTTCATTCTCCCCCTTTTTTCCATCTCTCCCTCCGCCATTTTTAGCGGCTCCGCTAAATTCAGCAGCGAAATTATTTCCACCACTCAAATTTTGCTTGCTTGCTTACTGGTTGGTAAGTAAGTAAGCTTTTCTCCGCCGCTTTCTTAGGGTTTTTCTTTTACCCTTAAAAGGAGGGTTTGTGTAGCTTTCTCTCTAAAATGACCGTAGTGCCCCTTTCAGTGGATAGCTCCAAATTACCCATTGGACACCCGACCGGAAGTTCTATTGGTCACCTTTTTGGCATTTATATCCAAACTACCCTCGTAAAAAAAATTTCAAGTCGGGGGCTTCGTTACGGCTCATTTTTTTTATTAATTATATTTGAAAGCGTAAAAAAGATGTGGGATTAATTTAGGTTTAGTGACGTGATTAGTGACAGAAAACGACAATATGAGGATTGTTGCACTATGTGTTTTCCCTATGGATTAGTTCTAAACTAACCCCTCTTCAGTACCTGCAATTTGCATTTTTTTTAAAGGGCGTCTTCAGCACGAATCTGGAGCATCACAAGAAAAGCAAAGCCGTGTCAATTTCGACAAACCCTAAGACTTGAAAGTAGAATTAACATGTCACAAGACATGTTAGTTTTAGGCCATAACCCAAATTTTCAAATCTATAATTATCAAGATCGAAATCGTCGTCAAAATATTATTCTGATGCTCAAACGAAAATTTTCAACTTATCTCAGCATGAGCTTTAAAAAGGTGCAACCCTGCACTAACCTGTCCCCTTTTTCTTTGTTATAATTTTTGTACCAGTTTTTTACAAATGGTTTCATCTACGGTGAAGGACTAAAGGCAACCCTAATAATGGCAACGTCATGGCCCTTTAAAAATTAAAATACTAATAATATTACAAGGCTATTATAGTCATTCCCCACTTCCCACCAACCCCAACAGCCGCTTTCTTTAATAGCGGGTCAATCTTGTAATTTTCAAAGGTGTTAGGGGTACTTAGGGGAGAAGCAATTATTTTCTGGACAAAGTACGTAAAGAGGGAAATATTTAAGTGTTTAGAGAGAGAAACAGAGAGAGATAGAGAGAGAGGGGGGGAGTGGGGCAAAGGCAATGGCCGTTGTTTTCGGTAGAAGATGCAGTGAAAGAAGCCAAGGGTTTCGAGCCAGGAGACGAGGGAACATGCTTCGATCTCTTTCTCTCTCTACTTTACTCAAACCCTAGGTATTTTTCTCTCTCTACTCAGCTCTTTGTTTATTGCTTTCTCTCTCTACACTTCTGTGCTTATTGGCTTTTCTATTTCCCTGTCTCTCACTGTCTCTCGCTCCATTTTCCGTTTCTTTTTATCTGTTATTTTTCGGGGTTTGACTTTGGAGAGAGAAAGTGCATCGCTTTCTCTCTTCTGAGTTTTATCGGAGTTGTCGCAGAAGGGTTCTTGGTAGTAGTTTCAGTGTGGTTTTTTATGTGATGGAGTTGGTGTCAGTGCTGGAGATGTGGTTTTTTATGTGATGGAGTTGGTGTCAGTGCTGGAGATGGGTTTTATTTTCGGTTTTTGGGTCGATTATTGATGGGAAGACAAGGGTTAGGTATGAATGACTTATCTTTATTATTAGAACTATTGTTATTGCTATTTCTGCTTTTTGGATGATATATTTGTCTGTTGGGAGGAAAGATTAGGAGATTATTGGCCAGTATATTGGGACTAGGATCGCCCTTTATGTCGATGAGGTTTCGCCTCATCGGGATCGGGTGATCTATTTTTCAAAATTTTAGGATTTTTTTTGTTGGTAATGCTCTACAACTTTAAAATGGTCAGCATATAGCATGTGCATGGCCTGTCTATATTGTAGTTAGTGGTCAATATCGCGATTATATCGTTTATTCCAGGCCATTTATATCATTTTCTTTATTTTTAGTGGATTTGTTTTAGTTTTTCCTCCGTAAATTTTTGAGGTGTTTCTCTCTTCTGAAGAATGGATCTTACAAACCCGAGTATTTATTTTTCTCTCATCACTGCATCCGATTGCCATGCGCTTATGGATGTTCGAGCAATTGTCCTTTTTTGGGTTTTTTTCTTAGTGGGTAAATTAATTCATATTTTGGGGTCCATTGTTTGTGACTCTCACTTGTTATGCCTTGAAATGGGAAGGTATACATGTCAACTGTTGGTTTGTTTTTATCTCTATGGTGCTATTCATCTTTTGATTTTGATTTGGAAATACATATTGAATGTGGAAGAGATCGATCTGCCAATTACTGGGTTAACTGGGGTATTTGTAAAGTGGAGTTAATCTGTGGCCTACAACAGAGCTCTGAATTCTTACCTTTTTCTTACTGTAAGTTAACGCTATGATTTTGGTTCAATGGTTTTAGGAAGAATTTGTTATTATATTAGCTGCATTTGTCGTAATTCGTGCAACTTATTGTTTATTATGGTTGGGTAGGTGCTTCACCATAAGTAGTTAGAGTTATATCACTGCACTCTATTTTCAAAACACCTGCGGAATTTGGAGTTAAAGTGAAATTTTTACTTTTTTTGATTTTTTTATTTGCCACTGAATTGGAACGTGCTGTTTGAATGCTTTTCTGATGAGCAGTTTCTCTCTGTCTCTTTCTCTCTAACTCTAATTTCTGATGTTTGAATTGTTTGCACCATTTAATTCCCCAGCAAAGATAGAGATTTGGATTTTGAAGGTTTTGCTATTTTTGAAAGTTCGTGCTGTTTTTGTTGTTCTCATGATAGTTAGTTTACAGGTATTATGAAGTATATGGTGTTTTGGCCTTTTATTTTTTACTTGACATTATGTTTCTTGCCCTTTTCTAGAATAATTTGTAAATGCCTTTAAGTTTGACTGTTTGCTTTGGTGTTTATTGTCATCATTTCGTGGTTTTGTGTTTGTGGTCTTTTCTGACTTAGTGGTCTCCTTAATTTTTTGAAGAGATGATGAGATCTTCAAGTATTCAATGGGCAAAAGTTTTATACTTAGCTGGATGATAGGGGTTGTTTGAGACTCATTCCAGTCTCTTATCCTTCACGAGTCTACTCTTTGTTGCCCTATTTGTCCAATGTTTGGGAGTAGTTGGTGATTGCCATTGCCATACTGGAATGAAGGTGTGTGAAATGATGTAATTGAATGGTTAGAATGTTGTCCCAAAATAAATAAATTTGTCTGCTGACTATTTTCTACGCTAGCAGTCTTGGTTGTAGCCAAAATTAAGTAAATTCATGGTCCTGTATTCTTGTGCAAATGTGTGTTCTAGAACAGAGGTATTCATTGCTCGCCACATCTCAATATCATTTGATACTTCTCTGAGGTTTATTGGTAGAAGTGATATTTTAGATGATACTGATCTGAAAGGACTTTTTTAATTTGGACATCATTTCATGAGGTATTCAACTGCGCAGCAGTTGAGGAACCATTATGTTCGTTATTCTGATTTTGGAGCAGTGTTTGAAAACTTGAATTCGGTGGAAGGTTTGGGCGCTACTGATACTGTTTCGACTTTCCAAGTTGAAAAGTAAACTTGAAAAACTTGTTGAATTTTTCCAATTTATGTGCAAAAAAATGAAAAGAAATTATGACAGTCAAACTCAGCTCGTCAACCAAGCATTTCAAAATGCTATCAATCTAGGGTAGACAATTTCTTGGTCAAATCAACAGAAAAATTGTATAAAACGAAAAAGTCAGGACCATCCTGAGGTTTTTTATTTGATAAACTCACCTGCTGGATGAATCAAGTTGACTAGCAAGCTCCTATGACATGAAATGAGTTTTTTTTTACTATTTTAGATTTGACTATATTTGTGGCAAGCTGCGTAAATTGGATTTCCAGGAAGTATTATGTTTCCGAATGTATAGTAAACTATGTTCATCCAACCTTATATCATTTGAGAAAAGGTTATGTAAAGTTATTTATAGCCCAAAGTTGCAACTTGCAACTTCCATTGGTATACGTGTTCTTCTTCTATATTTATGACTTTCACATTTCACCCTGTCTAGGGCAATTGCAGCTATTTTGGTGGGCATTTTACTGTTTAGTAAAATGACGAAGCATCATTTTTGGAAAAGTACAGCATCCACATTGTGTGCATTCTTGAAGGCTGCACAAACACCTTCCAAAAGTTGCATTGAATATGGCCCAGTCCAAGGGCCATAAATTGATTTCGTTTTTTTTATTTCTATTTTTTACTAATTTGTTCACATGGAAATTGGGTGTACATGCATCTTTAGAGGCCGTACTCAATAAAACAAGAGAATAATTAAAATAAAAAAGTGACCACATGACCAATGAAACATTCAAGGGTATTTTGGACTTTTTTAATTGAATTATTTTTAAATTTTTTATTGGATGCACCATTGCTAGATGAATGGAAGACATAGCTTTCATGTGGATAAAACTTGTAAAACTAATAAATATAATCCACTTTGTGCCCTTGTATAGGCCTATATTCAATCTGAACTATTTCAAAGGTGATCAAGCACCTTTTAAGGTCCACATGATAAGTACGGCTGACCATCCCTTATATTTTTTTCTTCCACTGGTTTGAGAGTAATATGTATATGTTGAAAGGAGATTTGGTTGGCATCTGCACTGGTAGGGATGGCAATGGCCTTCAAGCTTACCTGTTATGGAATACACAGTATTAAGATTAAAATTCTGTCCGCATTTTATTGTTTGGTGTTCTTATTTATATCTTAAGCTTCAATTCTTGAAAGGACTAGTTGATTGATTGCTTCTACGAAGTGTAAAATATAGTTTTGGTACTGAGATCATGGTTTCTTTAGTCCATTGTCTTGGTTTCGATATTCCTTTCTTTGTATTTTTGCTTTTCTGTTGAGTGGTAATACTCGACACTTTGGTGTAATCTATGAATGTTTCCTATTGGTTTTTCCTGATGTCAGTGGCTATATGGTTTGGGTGAAGACTGGTTGTACTTATCTTGATTGATGGGGTTCCTGTAGGGTTCTTAGGAACCCCTAGCTTGCGGAATCGAGAACCCCAAATATCGGGATCCCACCCAAGATCGTGTACTCAATTGGCCAAATGTGAACTAGACGTATACAATTATAAATCGAGTGCAAGAATACAGCAAACATAAAAATCACACCACAACAACACACAATTTATGTGGTTCACCCCATAGGGCTACATCCACATCCTCGACAAGTCGAAATCCACTATCACAATGAAAATTACAGTTTTGGGTTATAAGAGATATACCTCTCTCTAAATATCGGTAAAAGACCGTCACCGATATTTCCTTCTAAATTCGCTCTTCTGATCGAGCAACACCGTCGATCAATAGCTTCTTTCCTACGGCAATATTGCTACCGGAAAGATTACTTCGAGAGCAACTGAGAGATTTTCTCTCTAGAAGTGGAAGCCTAACTAATCCAAAACTCATGGGAATACCGTCTCTCTCTCGGAGGCCATGTCTCTCTCTCTTGGAGACCAATCTCCGAGATCCATTCCCATAACCCCCAAAGGGGTGACCCTCAAGAGGATGGTATTATGTCTTCTTTGATTATCGTTTATAGAGATTACCTTGAGCTTTTTTCTTGCTCCCCAAGAAACCCCTTCTCTTTTTACCATAATACCCTGAATCTTTCAATGAGAACATAGGTATGGTGATTTTGACTATCACCAAACCTAACAATCTCCACCTTGATAGTAAAATTACCATATTATCTTGCCGACCTTCATTGAATATATTTCTTGATTTCTTCCCACTTGCCTCCATTGTGGAGTTTTCACAAACACTTTGCCTCCATATCTCCACCTCAAACCATGTATCCATCAAACACCACCATTCGTCTTTTTCTTAATGCAAGCTTTAGTCCTGTACACACTTTGTGCTTTGATATCAATTGTAGGGTTCTCGGGAACCCCTAGCTTGTGGAATCGGGAATCCTAAATACTGGGATCCCACCCAAGATCATGTACTCAATTGGCCAAATGCGACGTCGATGAATACAACTATAAATCGAGTGCAAGAAATAAAGTAAACATAAAGATCACACTACAACAACACACAATTTACATCGTTCACCCCATAGGGCTACATCCACAGCTACGACAAATTGAAATCTACTATCACAATGAATATTACAGTTTTCGGTTACTAGAGGTATACCTCTCTCTAAATATTGGTAAAAGAACATCACCAATTGTCCCTTCTAAATCCCTCTCTCGATCGAGCAACACCATTGATCAATATCTTCTTTCCCACCGCAATACCGCTACCGGAAAGATAACTTCAAGAGCGACTAAGAGATTTTCTCTCTTTCTCTCTAAAAGTGGAAGCTTTACCAAACAAAAACTCATGGGAATACCGCCTCTCTCTTAGAGGCCATGTCTCTCTCTCTTGGAGACCAATCTCCGAGATCCATTCCCATAACCCCCAAAGGGGTGACCCTCAAAAGGATGGTTTTATGTCTTCCTTGATTATCTTTTATAGAGATTACCTTGAGCTTCTTTCTTGCTCCCCAAGAAACCCCTTCTCTTTTTACCATAATACCCTTAATCTTTTAACGAAAACACAAGTGTGGTGATTTTGACTATCACCAAACCTAACAGTACCAAATATTAGTGTTCTTATGTTTATGGGGATTTGATATTATGGAGACTGCGTTTATGTAACTTGAATGGCTTTGTCATTATCAAACAAAAAAATGAGTGGCTTCTACTAATGTGGTTTACATTCTTTTTTAGTTTGATCATTTAAGTGGCGGTCACGTCCAATCCATGCATGGGTTTGCCATTTCTTGATGAGCGAACACTATTAAAGTAGGTGGCAAAGGGTCATCGTCTAACTTCGGAGCATACTCGGAACTGATCCTATTCAGGCTGCACTGCTTTCCAAGAATCGGTAATGATGCAGACTTTATGCAACAAAGAATCAGATCAAAGTTCTGGGCAGTCAACATCTCCCTGTGTTGTTAACTGCCCATCATGGTGGAACTCAAGTGGGACCCAAGTTCGACAGCCTGCGATATGTAGGACTTTGAATTTGAACATGGACTCTTCTACTCAACATCACAGCCATGTGCAACAGTTGGGTGGTCAGTTACCTGACCAAGACTCATCCTCGACTCAGTCAACAGGTCAATCCCACCATGAAGTGGCTGCAGTGATGGGAGGGGATGCTAGGTTACAAGGTGTTCGTGCACCCTCTGGTACAAGCTACTCCCTTATTATTCTATTTTTATATTTGTAATATTGGACTTAATACCTTTGCTTTGTGCTTTGTGCATGTGTAGAGTTCTGAATTACGAATATCCATATGCTTTGTCAACTAAATGCATGGGTTCTATTTTTTATTAGTGAAAATCATTATAGTGGAATAGGAAAAGTATAAAATAAGATCAGGAGGTTCTTATGCGGCCCTTGTCCCCATTGTAGCCCTATCAACACCCACCCTATTTTTTAATCCTCGCCACTGAATTCGCTTCTCAGGTGATGGACAAAATTTACCACATGCAAATTACTTAAAGGGTGTGATTTGTCTAGAGCCTAGGCTCTAAACAATCAAATTAGAGCCTAGTGCCTGCCTTCAAATAGTGTCGAGAAATGTGGTTTCAATACTGGAAATCTTTGTGATAGTCTTAAAATATATTTTCATCTTTATTTATAAAGTTTAAATCTTCAAAAATAGTGTAGATCGTCAGATCTATGAAAACTTGAAGATCTTGAAAATTGACGGTCCAAAAATGCGTTATAAAATACACTATTTCCAAAACTTGAAATCCATTTTTTTTTCATGTTCATGCATCTTGATGTTAAGATGATCAATTTGAGGATATTTGGGCATCAAAACAACCTCTTCGAGGGAATTTTTTGAGGTAGGCTCTCTAATTTGATTGTTTAGATAAAAAAAATGTCATCCATTTTCAATGGGTGTTCAGAGAATCACCTTTAATAACTATTGGATAGGAAAATTCTTGTTTGCAATTTGAACTACTAAGACTGTACAGGAAAACCCTTGGCCGCAATTCTGAACTCCTTCCAAGATTATGTTTGGTTCTCAGCATGTGGCATTCAAATTCCCTAATGGTTCCTCAGATAACACCTGCTGACCTAATGGATCCTTGGTTTCCTTTGGGTGGTTAATCAAAATTCAACTGTAGTGTGAACAGAATGTGGCTGCCAATATGTTTCCAGTTGTTCACTTTTGATTTCTCTATTCAGGCTTTAGCCTAGCCCGATAAATGATGTTCCCATCTTATGATGTAAAGTAGCATAGATGCGCCTCTCATTCAAAAAACCCAGTTATTGCTCTCTTATTAAATACGTGAAATAATTGCTGAAATAGCCAACTGGAAAGGTTTGCTTCCTTTATTGCTCCAACATGTATTACACCATTCCACGCAAGTGTATTTGCAATAGAAAGAAAAGTAGTAGATGTTGGAAAGGTAGTACCTGAAAGACATGGGTCATACCAGTGATTGAAAAACAAGTTGCTCAGGCTTGGGCCCTTGCCGAGCCCGAGTTGTCCCGAGTTGGGTGTCCAACTCATGGATGTTAAAAACAATTTTAAAAAATCATAAAAAATCTTCTAAAATAATGAGTTTATTTGGGATGTTTTCTTTTTATGTTTTCTATCATTTTGGCAAAGATTGGAAAGTGTTTTGGTCATAAATACTCATTTTTACATTTTGCCATCTTTTTTGGATTATTTAAAAAATACCCCCCATCACACGTTGATTTTTTTAAAATCAATGTTGTAATTACTTTTTTAGAATCATTTTGAAGTGTTTTGCCTAATCTTACTTTAAACACACATTTCCTATTTTTCTGGATTTTTTTATATTTTTTATAATTTTTTGAACTTTTTTTTTGCTTCTACAATACTCAGCGAGTAACTTGGCTAGGGCCAGGGCCGATTACTCGGTCTGAGTCATATGGCTAGGGCCAGGGCCGATTACTCGGTCTGAGTCATATGGCTAGGGCCAGGGCCGATTACTCGGTCTGAGTCATACTTTCTAACACTGGGTCATACTGGGAGAGAGGTGGTAGAGGAGCTCCCACTTCATAACTGGGATCACCTTCATGCAACATGAAGACTCATCTTTTTCACAATTCAATCTATAATCATCATCATGATAAGTTTTGGCAAAGTTTTACATTGGCTGTCTACCTAACACAAACCAGCTCCTTTACCCAAGCATGGGATGGGTTAAGGGAAAGTTTAAGGTCTTCACCCTTTGACCAACAAATTAATCTATAATACTTCCAAGAAATTAGTCAGAAATGTAAGATTCCTATTTTTGTGAGATGTTACATCAATCAAATCCACTTGTGTATATTCCTATATAATTGCTATGGATTATGATGATAGAATTGGGAGCCTTGAGAGGGGTTTTCTTTGGAATAATGGACTGGTGAGGTGGGAATTTTATTTTGTTTGAATAAAGGAGTAATTCATCCCCTATTCTCGTGCTTCAAAATTTATCAGTGGTTGATTAAGAAACTGGAGAAACCTAAGGGTTATTGCCAATGTTCCAAAAAACAATGGGCAGTGCCTAGGTGACCGTCCAGGCCACCTAGCGCCTAGCCCAAGTGGAAGAACATGGGTGGGAGGTGTTGGAAAGAAAAGTTCTAGGTCCAAATTGTGTGTAAAGAATGCATATTGAGACATTTTAAATACATTTTATATGTTCAATCAATGAAAACTCCAAAGACAAAACGAAAGCATTTGAGTTTTGGACAATTAGTTAATAACACATTAAGAAAAATATAATCCAACATTCAAGTTCTAAACATAACACATAGTCCATAGTCCAAACTCCGTCCGTACAGTTCATAGCCCATACCAGACCATGATTACCATCCTAGTCAATAGTCCATACTCCGTATTCCATACACAACTCCATCTATACACTGCATAGTCCATACCATTATCATGATTACCATCCTAGTCCATAGTCCATAGTCCATCCTAGTCAATAGTCCATACTCCGTATTCCATACACATAACTCCATCTATACACTGCATAGTCCATACCATTATCATGATTACCATCCTAGTCCATAGTCTATGTACAAACAATGCAAGTTTTTTCTTTTCTTTTATTTTCACTTCAAATGTGAAAAAAGGGATTAACCCCGCCCCCTCCCCCCCCCCCCCCCTTCCCTTGCCCCCCTTATTTAGGGGGAAAAAGGATGAAAATGCCCCTCCATGAGCGGCATTTTTGCCTATGGGAAGGGCCGCTAGGCCTGGGTGATGCGCCTAGGCCCTCCTGGCCCACCTAAGTGGCTGCCTAGGCTTTGGGTGGGCCGCATTTTTAAACTATGGTTGTTGCACATTATGTGGATAAACTCAGGTTTTGGGAGGATGGAAGGGTGTGGGGAGCTTTTCATCTCACTTCCTACTACGAGAGCTCTGGTTTGCAATCAAGAAGCGGGCTTGAAACAAATTCGAGTTAAGAAGTTTCTGAAGTGTTAAGGTAATTGGGTTAAGGTATTGGTTTTCGGAGAAATTTTCAGGCCAGAATTTGGTGAAGTTTGTTGTTTGGGATTTCTAAAACAACCAGAGAGACGAACATGGATTTTTTACTTAAGGTTTTGGACAGGGGATCAAATGTCTGTGTTCTTTGGAAATTATGCCAGGGCTCACCTAGGGACTCTTATGTGTTCATGGGAATGAAATGGGCTAGGATGCCAGTTTTAGGGATCAGCTAATTCATGAAGCAATTGACATTTAAATGTAGGATTCGCATACAAACAGAGTTTCTGTTAGATATCAGTCAGAAAAGGTTTTATGTATTAAATAACATGTTCTTAGTCCATCATTCAAAACTGGCATCCCGACTAACACCTCTTATTGAATATAGTTGCTCTGTTGCTTACGTTGAAAGATAGTTGAGAAGCTTAGAACGGCCTAGTTGTTGACTGTTTTACTCCCATTTATTTGAGATAGATGTCTGTTCTTGGTCCTAGCTGTGGTCACCCTTTCTCTTTTCTTTGCCGGAATGCATATTGATCGACAGTTTGACTGTGGTTGTCTGTAAAGTGTTACTGTTCCTGGAGATCCTTCTTATTGTCTTACATTGAATAGATTGCTCTTTAACCTACCAAAAGAAAACGGTTTCCACCTATGGTCCTTAAGGCGAAGTGTTTTCCCCTGGGAATCTGGATTCTGTGCTCTACCAGATTAACCAAGAAATAGGTGAAGCATATAACTTCCAACTGTTCTGTGCTCTACCAGATTAACCAAGAAATAGGTGAAGCATATAACTTCCAACTGTTCTGTTGTTGTCTATTTTACTCTCCCTCTTATCTGAGATAGGTGTCTGTTCTTGGCTCTGCTGTACTCATCGTTTTTGTTTTTCTTTGCTGTCATGCATTTTGCTCAACATTTTGGGTGTAGCTGTCTCCAAAGTGGTACTATTCCAGGATATCCTTCGTATTGTCTTATCTAGAAGGATTTGCTCTCGAACCTACCAAAAGAAAAAGGTTTGTGCTCATGTTTCTTCAAGTCGATATCGTTTTCCTTGGAAATCTGGATGTAGGCTCTCCTAGACTAACTAAGAAAGGTGGGGCATGTGGTGCTTTCACTTTCCACTATTGTGGACCAACACTTATGAGGTACTGGCTCAAGTGTTCTCTCGTTTTGGAACCAATTCACTCTTTTTGTGAGCATATTTATCGTTTTGAATGTAACTACTTTACTCAACAGTTAACAATATAAAAAAAAACTACTTTACTCTAGCCCAAGGACATTTTGTCAGTTATATGACCCTTGTATGCATTCTGTATTGTGTGAAATGAATGCAACCAAAACCCAAAAGACTAAACGTGACTGCTCTCAAATTTGGGCGATGCTTGTGATTTATCTATTTCTTTTTGCATAATGATGTTTTGTTTTTCAAATTTCTAGTTGAAAGTTTAATACTAATTAACGAAACCATCAATGAAAACTCAACTTGTGTTTGGCTTGTATTCCATTTCTTTAATGACATTTTTTATCATCAAATGGCATGTATAATTTCAATGACAGTCCTAATCAGTTTCTAACAATAAAATATATTTTTAAGGATCTTGGCTGGAGGCCTTAAATTTCTATTCAACCAGGAGAATTTTGTATGAAATGTTATAGTTTGTCAGTTTTTCATACCATATTTCTTTGATTAGGAAATTTCATTTTAATTTTTATTTCTTCTTGAGTGATTATGTGTGCCTTCTTTTTTCAGCATACGATGAGAATGATGGGAAGGGTGTTGAAAGTCATGTTAAATCACTGTTATCTTTAGGGACTTCTGAGGGTGTTTTTCCACATGCACAGATTGAATACGGCCATCCAATTGTAAGTTTGGGCTGTAATTTGAGATCTCTATGTTTCCTTTTTTGGCCCTCTTTTTGATAATTGAGGTTTCAGCTCAATTATCAAAAATGAAATTAATGCTTCTAGTATGTGTTTCAGTGTTTAGCTTGACCATTTTTGGCTACTAAGCTAATTCCTGTTTGAGCTTCAGACGCGTATGTCATACCCCTATGCTGATCCATACTTCAGTGGTGTGGTAGCTGCTTATGGAACTCAGGCTGTGGTAAGCTGCATTAGTTAGCCTTTTTTGATGGCTATTTTTTAATTAAGAATTGCCTTTTTTGAGTAGATCAGTTAGGAAGTTGCTTTTTCTTAACTAACACAAAATTGCTTCACTTGTGATTGGAATGAAATTCTTACGGTTTTCAATTACCAGAGAAGATTGAATTTGTATATTACACTATCAACAGTGCCTGAACATGAATATGACTTATGTTGGGCAGCACTGCTCATACTCCCCTTGTTAAATCCAATGACATAAAATTAAGTCTCTAAGATGAGACTTTCTAGAAAGCATGCATAAAATCAATAGGTTAATGGTTGTCTCTTTTACAATTCACACAAATTAGCACGAATGAATTTATGTGGCTGGTGTGATTGTAAAGTGGTGGTGCCTATTGGAACAGCAGTGCTGCACAATTGTTGCCCTTGTACTCTTATTATTCCTGCATGCTGCTGTATGTTAACATCTCTAAACACAGAAATAGGTTGAAACTCAAGATAGTGCTATACGATGTGAGATGTCCATCTTTGTTCGAAGTTTGAAACTAGAGAGAATCTGGATACATCTTAAACATTTCATATATTTATGATCTTTCCGTTGAGGTTTTATGGCATCAGGTCATAAATCTTGAGATATGCAAATGATGTAACTGCCTTAGAAATGTTCGAGAATGGAATACAAAATTATCGGAATTGATGGATCTGTATCTTGCTTGTCAATTTCTATTTGGCCCTCGGTTTGCCTGGATACCTTATCACATTATTGATGTCCACAAACATGGAGGCTAGATGTCATTCTTGAGACACTTCAGGATACGGTGGGACACTAATCAATGTTGGACAAAATGTGGGTCATGGCACCCTTCCAAATGTTAAAATAGGGGACTTCATATTGGCATGCAATGCCTTAATTTTAGGATGTTCCTTTCCAGAAGTTGATTTTTGAAACCACATGTTAACATGTTAAACCTTTTTACAATGAAGTTTGAAGAAACAGGTGTACGGGTATTTATGCAAAATTTCTACTTATTTGTAGAAGCGACACAATATTGAATGTTGACTCTAATTTTGGGAAAAAACTCCGATGCTGATGATGTAAACTATGAGACCATTTATCTTTGTTACAACTTACAAGGAGGTCACTATTACTTGTGGTCATCAGATGTCTTGCCGTGTATCACAAAGTTCGTATGTATATATATATAGCTATGATTCTGTCAATCAAAAACTAATATTTAGCCATTGCACTATTCAGAAACCTGGCTAAAAAAAATTTCTGTTAACATGGATATATCATGCACTTGTAGATCCATCCTCAAATGTTTGGGTTGCAACATACTCGAATGCCCCTTCCCATTGAGTTCATGGAAGATGAACCAGTTTATGTTAATGCAAAGCAATACCGTCGGATCCTTCGGCGGAGACAATTGCGGGCGAAGTTGGAGTCGCAGGATAAATTGGTCAAAACCAGAAAGGTGTGCCTGCTTTCTTGATCGATTGATCACTTGATTTTCTGGCTTCTTTTTTTTTTTAGTGTATCGATTGCATGGACTCTGGAAAACCTGAGTCCATCCATCGCCCTATTATGTGAAATGATGGTCAGCAGTGGAGAGGGGATGGGATCTCCAAGAAGAATGCAGGACCTTAATGTTGGGTTCCACTCTCTTTATTGCCATCCATCATTTTATTAGAGAACAGACCATGGTATTTTGTAGTGCACGGGATTATAGTATATTCTCCAAAATGAAAATGGGTGCCCATGTTTCGCCATCCATTTTTTCTGACTCTCCATCTCGTTTTGCAGCCTTACCTCCACGAGTCCCGACACCTTCATGCCATGAAAAGGGCAAGGGGAACAGGGGGTCGCTTCCTCAACACAAAGAATCTTGAGGAATCAAAGGCCACGGTTGATGGTCAAAAGGGTTCGGAAGGTGGAGCCCTCCTCCAGCTTGGTAGTCTCTCAGAATCCGAGGTCCTTCAGTCCGAGAACAACAATCCTAGCTCTGGTGGTCCCACCACCTCGGGGTCTGAGGCCACAAGCTTCTCTCACCCCGAAGGCTTCTATGACCCACAAGAGTTTCGATTGAATGGGTTTCACCTGCATAACGCAAGCTATGGTGGGCCCCACCACATGTTTTCGGTGATCCGATGAGGCGAGTGGGCCCCATTGCTCTGGTCTGTGGCCTGTCGGTACGAGACATGTGACAGTTTCTGTGGGGCTTATGCTTGCGTATGGGCAATTCATCCTTGGCTTGGTTTATGTCACTTTTCCTCCGTTTTCAATGTGGCAGGGGAGAAGGGGAAGAACTACAGACTTTGTGTAATTTGTTATGGTGAGTTCTGGAACTGGTTGTAATAGTGAAGGGTGCAAGGAGTTTATTTGTGTAAAAGCAGGATCGGTCCTTCCTTTTTGGGTTTGTTGGAGTTCAAAACTTCAAATGGTTTTTGTTTCTCTCTCTCTCTCGCTCTCTCTCACTCACAAAATTTTCTGCTCTTTCTATCTCATTCTCCTGCCATGAAGATTAAATTTCTGGACCGTCTCATTCAGCTTGCTCGAGTGATTTTGGCTGTTCTCTCTCTCTCTATCAAAACTTGCTGCTCTTTCTATCTCATTCTCCTGCCATGATTAAATTTCTGGAGGTGGAGGTATTTTTAGGACTGCAAATGTTCCACCTAAATATTTCTTAGAAGAATTGACTGCACACTAAATAGCCTGAAAATAACTGAAGGATCAGTTCTCGGAGTAGTTAGATATAGGCGTTTTGAGTACTGAAAAATCCTTTTTCTATTTTCAAGTGCTCATTGTGATTCTTGAAATTCTAATAAATTTTTTTTTCTACGTAGGTCAATTAGAGGGAGAGTACATCTTTTGCTCCTCATACACCAAAGAAATTGAAAAAAATAATGAAAAAAGAGTCGCTATTTCGGGACCTCCCTGCCAAGATATCTTTTATTCAGTGGTATGATTGTTATGAATCAAAAAATTGGCGTGGGGCAATGGTCCAAGCCTTGCTTCCAAGTTAATGTGTTTTATTTCTTAACAAGAAATTCCACTGCAGCCAGTCCCAACCTGGTCATGCCGGTCCCATGCCCATGCCCAACCTGATCATGCCGGTCCCATGCCCATGCCCAACCTGGTCATGCGGGTGGTTGTGTAGGTATAGCTAGAGTAAAACTTATCGCCATATCTTTTTATGAATCATGATTTTTCTCAAATAGTTTGAATAAGGATGGATAATGATGATTTCTTAATAGGACATGAAAATTTGCAAAGTTGAGACGAGTTTTGTTATTGAATCATATTTCTTTCTTTTGTTTTATTCGGCTATTTGTTCACTTTTGATACAAAAAGATAACAATCACATCAACCAGGTTAGATTTCTAGGATGTCTCTAGATAATGATTGAGAAAAATCCTCGAACCTAAGGAAGGTTATTGGCACACCCTAATATGAATATTCTGAGGGAGATTGGCACTGTTTTATGCCAAACCATAAATAATCTCATAGCATAATTTTTAATTAAAAATATGGGATTGTTTACAAAGAGACCATTTATCTTTTGTACATGGAGGTCACAATCCTTCTTATGCCTTAAATTTGAAAATGGATGGTTGTAAGAGTGTCATTGATTAAACACAGTTCTAAGAAAAAAAAATCTGAGAATTTGTGACTCACCACAAACTATCGAATTTGACATCTAATGAGCGAGAATGATTGGGATCTCCATGTACAAAAGTCTCTTTGAAACAATCTTTTAAAATATTTATTCATATAACATATCCATATAGTCATCAAAAACCCCATGACAAACCATATATGTCATTAACCCCATGACCATGAGGTTATCATGTCTTATCTATGGATCAGACTGTAGAGTAGATCTCACTGTACATATCTAATAATGAATTGCATGTCCCCACTTTTTCATCACCATCGAGCCTATGATGGAGATAAACCACACATTCAATGTCCCGCCATGACTATGGTGATCGAAGAGTACACATACTTTGCTCCCTGCAAGAGAGTAGTACTACCATTACTGCCTCGGAAGAAGATTTACTTTGGAGAATTTTTCAATCCAGAATTTTAGGGACCATTTAATAATCACTATATGACAATTTTTAAAAGAATAGAATTCAAATTTTGAGGCTTCTCTTAGATCTCACCCACCAAATATTTGGCAATCTCTATTGAACCTAGAGACATCATTCCTTTCATTACGATTTAGAAAAATTATTTCATTGAGGTTAGATCTATAGGATGAAGAGGTCACATCCCAAATTATTTGGAGTGCTAAAAATAGTTCTAGATTGAGTTTTTACCAAAGGGAGTGAATAGATAACATCTTACACATCTTTTGGTTTGGTCGGGATCATGTACTATAAGACTATTTATTTTTGAGACAAAAAGATCACAATCACTTTTAGCCATTATATATGAAATCCAACATATGATATTGTCATAATATTCGAGAAGTTTTATTTTGGATTGTGCCTAAACAATGACATATGCTCAACCACCTAACTTCATGTCTAATAGTTAATGATGATTGTAACCTCCTTATATTAAAAAGTACCTCATATCATTGTATACATTTCCTAACATAAGGCTGTTGAAAACGCAAAACCTAAAGGATGCAATCACATGCTATTTAAGCCAAAAATCTATATTAAGAATAAACTAAAGATCTATATTAAGAATAGACTAAAAAAAAGGTATGGCTTGTATAAGGTTGTGGCCCTAAACAATCTAAGTAAGGCACACCTTCAAATGGTGCCAACAGACATTGGTTCAGTATCAACAATCTTTGTGATCAAGCAGATCAAGCCTAAACAATCTAAGTAAGCCTGAAAATTTATTTTCAACTCTAATTATAAAATTTAACACTTAAAAAATAGTGTAGATCAAGCAGATCGATGAACACTTCATAATCTTGAAAATTGATAATCCAAATAATGCATTACAAGATGCAGTATTTTCAAGACTTAAAAAATCCATTTGTTTTCACCTCCAAATATCTCGAGGTCGAGACAATCAATTTGAGGGTTTCTCGGCATCGAAAAAACATCTTCGAGTGAATTTGTGAGGTGCACCTTAAGTTGACTGTTTAGGGACTCAGCCTTATATAGACTTCTTCAAAAAGACAAAAAAGGGAAAAGAAAATATAAATGCATCTCACAGTGATCACTATTTATAGGTGTGGGGGGAGAGAGATGCACGGATTTGGAATCTGACCAAAATGTTACCATGCAAAAGGAAAAAGATCCACTCAATGTTTTGGGGACAAGTGAGAGACCATATTCCTAGCTGCACTTAAATCAAGTCAAACAAATTTTAAAGTAGCAAGGTAAAAGTTAGGCTCATCTATGAAGTCAGTTATCTGAAAGGAGTTGGCTGCAGCAAGCTTCTCCAACGTATCCTTGTCAGGTAAGTCTGAGGTCACCATTTCAGGGTACCGTTGTCTTTGGCGCTCCACAATTTCCCTCCCTTGAGCATAGCTTATAACAACACAAGCGCCTAGCATCGAAAAACACATAAGACTCCTAGACAAATATATATGTATCATCCATGAGTGCATGGGCATGCGTGTGTTGTGTCTGTGTGTTGTGTGCATGTGTGCGTGTGTGTGAAAGAATAATATATTAATGACTTCATATTGTAGAGAATATGGAAATAAAATATTAACTTGGATACTAATTTATTTTTCTATTTAACATTCAATCAATTAGAGAAGTTCAGTTTACACGAACTGCAAATACTAACAGCCCACAGTTTCTTTTTGTTGTGAATGCAGCTAATAGTTGAGAGTTGATGGCACATACTGTGGACACCAAGCCTATTAAATTCCTTAGGTTAAGTTGTTGTAATATGTACACCTCCTCTTAGGGGACAGGCATTTTTTAGTTTTATACTAAGGTTCCAAAAAGGGTAATAGATACCCATATCGTGTGGGGACAAAGACTGATATACACTAATAGATATATTTGATATCTGCCAATAACTTGGATATGAAATTGGGAAACTAAAAAACCATTTATTCTTAAAGAACTAAGGATTCATCAGGTGAATTTGGAAAATATTGGAAAATGGAATTTATAACAGATGTAGTGGGTTTTCTATTTTTTATTATTAAGTATTCTGCAAAAATAATGGATTTATATTGGATAATTTGAATGCTATTTTTAAAATATATCAGATATAATCAGATTTCTAGCAGATATAATACAGTTTAGTACTTTAGTCTCATAATTTGAAGCCCAATACATCAAGCTTTACACTGATACATATTGGCCAATACATAAGAAAAAATCGTTGATACTAGATATTATCTCCCAGTATTGACTAGTCCCGGGTACCATTGCCATATAGTTACAGGCATGGTCAGGGTCCAATATAGAATTATACATCCAATTTGTTGACGGATTATTGAAATTTGGATCCATCTAAACATTGACCATTAGAAGAACATGCAAACGATATAGAGTACAAATAGTACCCATTTTCCACTATAGGATATTAGGATTGAAGGTCTTCTAAATTAAAACTATGAGTTGGAATTATAAAAGGGTAGGGGGGTCCCGGGTCTGTCATTCCCACTGATTCACCAAAAAAAAAAAGAACTGAGTTGGATGAAACCTTCAAAGCCAGAAGAACCAAGTAGGATGTCTCTTTCCTGACAAGATTGAATATTGTCCAGTGTCCACATCAAAACAGTAAGTTGGATTTGATTCGAGAAGTCAGAATATCCCCACTAGAGTCATGCTCCCGTAGACGATTCTCAGACCATTTTTGCAGAAAAATCAAATGACAAGACCAAAAGACAAAGTATCCTTCTGACAAAATAGGTAAGATAGAATATTTCTAGTTCTTGTGTGCATAAGTTCCCTGTCTGGATGTGCTTATGAGCATCACACAAAAGCGGGCTTACATGCCCATGCTGTTTAGCTGATATTTTCATGGCCAATATATATCATGTTGGAATTCAGAAAATTATATTTCAGCAATGTTGTCATTTCAAGAAAAGGTGTTCTGCCTCCCATCAAGCCCACCTTGTGGGGTGGCTCATCAGCACGTCCATACAAGGCCTAAATGTATACTTTAGTGCATATACGTCAATGACAATTCATACATTTGTGTGCGAGGGTCGCCACACCAACCTCATGTACTTCTCTTTTATTGATGACACTTAAAGTTATAAAAAAAAAGACAATTCATAAATGTGTGTATATTAAATAAAGAGAGAGATGTCCATGCATGGTTTTGAGATTACAAAAGACATTGATTACATAGCATAAGGTTTTGACATTCAAAACATATGAAATACAAAAGTGTAACATTCAGATTTATAATATAAGCACCTAGTATAATCTACCAGTATTTGAATCTATAACTGACCAATGTCTCAAATAATCTACCAGCATTTGAATCGATAACTGACCAATGTCTCAATGTAGTACCATAACTATATGCTAGATATGAACATCTAACTGCTTACAACATATAAAGATTTTCTATTAGTAAATGTGAGTGTCAATTAAAAGGGTTAAGTGCATGCACGCAATACATTGGTACCTATCAATGCACAACTGCTCTCTAGGAGCTCCCATTCTTAAGTTTAGTTTGGGTCCTTGCTAGGCACAACATGTTTACATGAGAGAAATGAACTTTCATTTCCTGATAAGCAGTGTATAAGAGAGCATCAAGGGCTACAAAAAAAGAATTGTTTTATTCATTCTTTTTTCACAAGACTTAGGATTTTACAAGACTAATGGAAGGATAGGAACATGCCCACTATAGCCCTACGCCAGGGTGTTTTCTGCCCTTGGTTAGGGAGAGACTGAGTCACCAGAAGGCACCTTGGGAGCCTAGGTGCCACCTAGGGTAGGCTGCCTAGGGCTTGGAGAGGTGTCTATGCCCCTGCCCTAATTCAAGGCACATGAAGCAGGCACAAAACAGTGGTAACGAATTACTCAATACAAACGTGACAGCATTTGAGGAACTCAACTCCGGCTTCATTTCTTTCCTTGGGCTTCCTCCTCTCTTCAACTTTCAATTTCATACCACGTTTCTTCATCTTGCATAATGTTCATTTCCTCCAAAGTTTCTCTATGTTTCTCAATGTTAATTGCACCTGTGTGTTTTTTGTTTATGCTTGAACATGGAGCAAAATAGTTTAACATCCTAGGAGCTAACCAAATCTAGGACCATAGAAGAGCTATACTCAATACAAACATGGCAGCATTTGAGGAACTAAACACCTGCTTCATTCCTTTCCCCGGACTTCCTCCTCTCGTCAACTTTCAATTTCATACCAAGTTTCCTCATGTTGCGTAATGTTCATTTTCTCCAAAGTTTCTCCCTGTTTCTCAATGTTAATTGCACCTGTGTGTTTTTCGTTTATGCTTGAACAGGGAGCAATACTAGCTTAACATCCTAGGAGGTAACCAAATCTAGGCCTATAGAAGAGCTAATTTGCTGGTCAGCCATGTTAGGAGTTAAATAATTATGCTAGTGGTTAAAACAATAGAGTTAGAGATTGAAGGGTAAAGGGAGAGAAAGACTTTCACACCATAATACCATGGCAGAGAGTCACCGCAGTGAGACATCCTTTCAAGGACTACTCCCTTTTTCACACTGACCATTTGGAGTGCCCCCTTAGCACCTTGATAATGTTGAATAAGCACAAAATCTCATGTATGGTCATGGATTTGGTTCAGCCCTAAGATGTATAGCAACTAGAAATACTCTTTGTGAAATCATATGCAGAAAAAAAAAAACAAGTGCAAGCAATATTGATGAAGAATAAATAAATGGAAGAGTAAGAGGAGGAAACTTAAGATAGAGCAAAAATTAGAAGAGAGGTGGAAGCTCGGAGGAAAGGAAAAAGGAATTAAGTAGCATTTGAGCCGCCAAAAGGCTGTTGTTTTATTGTTAAACTATTTATTACATGTTTCTATCTTTGTTTTAAATTGTAAACAACCTATTCCAAGTAAACAGCCTTGCTATACTTCAAATTTTAATAAAGGAAAAAGCTAAAATCTGTCTCTAATCTCTTCAAAATATTTAGCTTCATCCTCAAAGTTTTGGATGTGTGAAAGCAATCTTGAATCTCTCCTGTTCTCCATGATCAACAAAATCTCTTCCTCTCACCTTTTATTTATCTCTCTTGCCACAGCATCTTTTCCTTTCCCAAGAAATCCCAAAGGGGAATTGGCTCTTTTTCTTCGCTGAAGTTTCTTATTCAAGATATCCCAGCAATTTTGAATGTAATTAACAAGATATTTTCCATATACAGTTTAACAAGAACTAGCCTCAAATCATTTATGGTAACCCAGACGACAAGCAATGAAAAAGGCCAGAATTTGGAGATATCTCTCTAAAGTCCAATACAAAATGATCAAAATAGGCTCTAGACCAATGTTTGCTCACAAGATTTCTATAAGGGAAGTCATTTTCCATCATAAATATGAGAAACCAGTAAATGTAAGTCTTAATCCACAATTACACATTTGATTGGTAAATATCTCCGCTAGTCTAGGTGATATTCCGCTCCACAATACCATTCTTGTACATCACGACAAGGCAAGAACCCTAATAGAAGACCTGAAGACAAGCTCAAAACATAAGGTCAATACATCAAATCACTTGCAACTATAGCAGGTACCGAATTTGTTGAATAATGATAGTTCATTTTAGTCTTCCAATAACTACATTCTGCTAGAGCTACTGAACAGGTATCCATGTCGTAAAAATAATTCAAGTCACGAATATGGATGAGAGAAAGAGAGAGTGTGTCTGTGTTTCTAATAGCCAATTTCTATCTCAACAAGTTCTCGATATTTTTCACCCAATAATCAAATTCTGCTAAACCTTCTAAATACATATCCATACAGACAAACAAACTTCAACTCATAAGAGAGAGACATTACTAACTTACCAGGTGAGCATCTCTCCACAAGAGCCCCAAATAACCGATCAAGCGAACAAGGCAATGCAGGGAAAAAACACAAAAAAATGGCATCGAAAGGAGCCCATTTTGCTGGAACATCAACAATGTCACCTTGCCAACACCTCACTGTATCGTACTTCTCCTTAACCCCAGCTAAAACATAAAGCGAATAATGCACAACCAGGAGCTGGCACTGAGAAGACGCCCTAACTCTATCCACAAAATCCTCAGTTCCAAGACAAACCAAAACCTTCGAATCATCTCTGATCGCTGCTGCTTCGATAATTCGCTTCGACTTCTCTTCGATTTCTTCATTTGTGTTTACGTGATCAAATTCAAGGAAAGACCAATCTTTCTCTACGAAATCAGAAAATGGGTCTCCAAGAGGGCTTGAGCTGGTGGAAATGGGGGAAATTCCAGCTTGAGATGGAGGAGAGCAGAAGGCGAGGAGAGATGGTGTTTTAGGGTTTTTAAGACGGATGAGAGGAAGGGGGCGATGGAGGGTTAGGGCAGGGGAGGGAGAGGAGAGAGTGGAAGGAGGGAGGAGAGAGAAAGGAGAGGTAGAGAGAGAAAGCATCGCGATAGGACGCTGTAGCTTTGCGTACAAGGGGAAATTGTATCACCTTTTAGACGGCAATGGGACTCAAAAGAGCTGGTTCAGATACGTTAGCCATGTTGGCCGGAAGAAGTTTGTCTCGATCGAGAGAGAGAGAGAGAGATAGAGAAGTGTGTCTGGAGAGAGAGAGAGAGAGAGATAGAGATAGAGAGAGAGAGAGAATATAGGGGAGTGTAGAGAGATAGGATAGTCAGCTCGGTTGCTCCTAAAACCCCATTTTATATATATGTATATATATTTTATTTAAGCTTATTGAATATTTTTGAAGGTCCCTTTTTAGATCCCGCCCATATATTTTAATATTATTTTTTAATTTATTTTATTAATTTTTAATAGTTAATATTCTCTATATCGTTTATTCCAATGGTTTAAAAAATGGATTGGTGACCCGGATCGGGCTTCCAAAAAACCGATCCGGATCGGTGAATCGGCGATCCGAATCGAAAATCGGGTAAATCGGTCAGAATAAAGCTTAAAAAAAATCCGAAAAAATTATTAAAATTCATTATAAATATTATTTTTTAAGAATTCAATAAGAAATGAGGGTAATCCATTAAGAATTTTCATGTTTTTGAATGAATATGCGAATTTTGATATGTTATTTCCCTGCATGAACCGCCATTCAGCATTTAATTTACATCACACAAAAGGATAAACATATAATTATCATTGAATAAATATAACAACATACATGGACTACAATAAAGCATAAAATTAGTAACATATGATCTAAAAATAAAATGATAGATGACGTTATTGTTCTTCTTGGTCACGCTGGTGCCATTGATTAAATTCGTTTAACAATTCATTGATTCGATCTAAAAACGAATCATCGATATTAGCAGGCGTCTGACTATTCCCAAATCCCTTAGTGTTAGTGTTTTGTTGTGTTCCCAATCTAAAATCACCGAAGATTGTCCATCCTTCATGCTCACCTGCATTGTCGTGCTCATCCCTACACTGTTGCTGTTGGGACTCGATATGTGAATAATATGGCTGGGATAGGGTGGCCTCAGAATCATCATCTCTCTCATTTTCTCTTTGAATAATATGGATTAAAAAAAAAAAACAAATTTTCAAAAAAATCCATCATAGATTAAAAAAAAAAATCACAAATTTTCAAAAAATTCTATCATGGATTACAAAAAAAAATT